TTTTTTTTTTTTTATATTGATTGCACAATGAAAGATAACCATATCCAATTTTTTATCCTACTTCACGTACATGTCATGCGACTCGAACTCAAAATCTATTGTTTCCAATAAAAAGAAATAATCACTAAATTATTTAGGTTGTTGACTTGACTGGTAGGTTAAAAACCTAAAACAAACGTATTCCTTTCTTACTCTAGTCAAAGAACAAGATGTTGTCTTAATGTAGGTATGTGTAAAAGGTAATGCTAAGTATTGTCTATTAGCCAGTGAAATTAATACCGTATCGTAGCGGTTGGTACGGTCGATACGTATCGATTTTAGTACTTGACCAAAATGTTATAACATCAATTTTCGTTTTGATCAAATTTCAGGTATTTCAATTAAAATCCGGTGTACCGACCGAAATTTTGGTGTACCAGTTGATTCACCGGAATTTCGATCGGTACACACTGCAAATTAAAAAGAAAAAAGGATTCCCCTAGCCCAAAACGACACCGTTATGGGCTAAGGGCTTTTCATAGCCTGCAACTGCAATACACAGAAGTCCGTACAACTCAATTCAAATTTAAAAGGGTAGATTTCATTTTTGATCCTCAACTTTAATGTCATATATAATTTTATTCTTTAACTTTTTTATGTACTTTTTTAGTCCATTTTTCTTCCTTTTTTTTTGTCTTTTTATCAATTATTTTGTTAAATTTATCTAAATATACACATTTTTAGTCCATTAATTTAAAGTGGAGAGACGAAAAATATACATATATTAAAAGTTGAGAGACTAAAAATGATCATTAAACTTATTTTTAATTTATAAGAATATCATAGTTTTAAATATTAGTATTTCTTATCTTATTTTAAAATTTGATATTTAATTTATAAAAATATATATTTATAGCGATAAATCCGAAACGGTACACGAAAAATTTTAATATTCAATACGTACCGTTTCAGTAACAAAATCGATACGCATATCGGTACGATATTGACTACTTTGCTATTAACTACTAAGTGCTTGCTCATCCTTGTATATAGTCATAAATAAATAAATATACTTTAATTAGTGAGTTATAAAACCTTGAACAAACCTATTTCTATTTCACTCTAGTTTGGAGCACTTTATCAATATATGGTAATAAATAAATATATTTTGATAGATGGTTGTATCTATATGATTACTCCACCAAATT